AGCTATAAAATAGCTCGAAGGTTAGGGACAGTATCCGCCCCCTCCACAGAATCAGACACCTGCGTGGCTCCCAGAATTCCATCTGGTGTATGGGCAGCACTCACGTGGACAATTTCCAAGGCTTTTATGGCAGTCTCATTCGTGTGATCATAATAGTTTATCAAGCCATTTTCCCTTTGCTTATAAAATGCGTCAGTCACCCGTAACCACCCCACTTTTCCTGACTTTCCAAAGAGCCTGCTAACACCTTGGCTGATGGGTTTTCACAGAGTCTGCCCCCGTGGCTGGTGGAAGGCTGGCATCCCAGGCACTGTGCCCCCCCACACACACACACCAAGGAGCACCACCCTCCTGCCTCCAGACCCCATCCATACATCTCTCTCTCTCAGTGTCACATCTATGACCACTTAAATCAGTGTGGATCTCTTAGCAACCTCTGGTTTGGCCTCAGAAGCTGTTTCTTAGTTCCACTCATCAAGTGAACCATAGCCACAGGCCCCTCAGCCTGAAGGACAGGGTAGGGCAGGTGCCAGCCAGCCTCATGGGTCAGATGAGGATGCCAGGTCAAAGGTTACCCAAGGGCCAGCCCCCAGGTGCCCAGACCTAAGTCCCTCGCTGTTCCCCGCACCAGGCTGTGCACTGAATGACTCCCCCGTGGGACTGGCCGCGTACATCCTAGAGAAGTTTTCCACCTGGACCAATTCGGAGTTCCGGGACCTGGAGGATGGAGGCCTGGAGAGGTGAGTGTGTCTGCCTGAGCTGGTGGGAACCCTGGTCCCTGGCAGCCACCTTCCTCACACCTCAGCGGCCTCTTCATCCTCATCACCAGTGCTGTGTGGGGTGGTGAGGCAGCTGCAGCTGTCGCTGGCTGTCACGCAGGTCCTCATATGCAACCCTGGGTTTTGGTGAGGTAGCATGGAGACTGGCCAGGCTTCCCCTTGAGGTAATTGTGGTGGAATGTGGTGGATTGTGGTAGGGTGAGGCAGCCTGTACCCTGTGGGTTCAGCAGCTGGTTCCCGACATTGGGGAGTGAGTCCAGGGGGCAAGGAGCACCCCTATGCTGCCAGGGGCAGCCATGGCCTCTCCTGAGTTTGAGAGCCCAGGGACCACGTGTTCATGGGGTTGGTGGAAGTGACCCTAGAGGGTGGCGGGCTGAGAGGTAACCTTGACCTGACTGACCTCCAGGGCCCTTTCTCCACCCAATCCCTTCAGGGAGCATCAGGGGTCAGGGTGGAGTTTCTGCCATGGCTGTGCTTCGCCTTGATCACCTACAGCAGGGCCAGGCTGTGGTAAGAGGCCTGGCCTGTTCCTCTCTGAGGTACACAGGAGCCCGATGTGAGGTCCCTGGCCACTCCTGCCCCATCCCCGGAAGGCACCAGGGAACAGAGAGGATCACGGCTGTGTCCTGGCATGACCATTGACACAAGCCGATGGTTACGATAGTTCTCGGGCTGTAGTCGGAGGTGCCGAGGAGATGGAGGCACTCAGCTGCCTTGGCAAAAGCTGGCTTACAGAGTTCATGTTTATTGTTTGTGGTGACCATAAGGGGTTTTATTGGCAATCCAAACCACATTGGATGAGACATGTGTCACTGCTCCAGCGTGGCTGGGGATAGAAGCTGAGGCATGCACAGCCCTAGGCATGCAGAGGCCTTGGGGGCAGACTCATCCTCCCCTGTCCCACGGGACCTGGCACTGGGCTCAGCCCCTCAAGTCAGCAGATGCTTTGGGAGAACCTAGAGAGCTTCCTGCCAGGCAGTCCTCACTTCCTCCTGGGCCCAAGGCCACCAGCAGTGACCAACCTCAGGCTGAGTTACTGTGGCCATGGTCATCAGTCACCTCCTACTTCCTCACATACAAAACTTGTGCCCCTCCATCCCCACCCCCCTGTGTCACAGGACAGCTTGGTCAGTGGCTTACAACCCAGCCTCCCTGCAGGCTCCATGTTCCTCCTCCAGACAGGCATCCAACCCACAGCATCTTTGGAGCCTCAGCACCTGACCCAGTGTGTTTAATAAATGCATTACCAGTGAGTCGATAGGACAGCAGTAATCCCTTTAACAGCAGGGAACTTGGCACCAACTTCCTGCCCAAACACAAAGGTCCTACACATGGGCCTAGACCCTGAGTAGTGTTAACTTCTGATGTGTCTGTGTGTTTTCAAGTGGTGTTGATCCTGTTTTCACCAGAGGAGAAGCAGAGTAAAACAGCAAGTCCTACAGCTCCTGAGTAAAATGACTGAGATGAGATCCCAGGCCCCTAGTATCCTGGGCTCACTGCCTCCAGGAGCTTCAGCAGGTCCAGGCAGCCTCCAGTGAGGCCCCAGTCCCTATGAACACATTGTAAGGCTCCCAGCCTTGGAGAGACCTAGTACCTTGGGGATGGCTTCCCTGGAGGCACCTGCTATGCTAAAGTCAGTTGCAGGTGCATGGAGGTGGGAACAATGGAGTGTGCAGTCTGGACCCCACTGCAGTAACAGGGGTACAGGTGGTAACAGGGCCTGTCTGTGCCCCTTTCAATGTAGAAAGGAATAAACAAACTTATTCCTTTTAGAACCAGCTGTCTTATTCAGGGCCTGCACTGCACTGCCCAGTCCTCAGTCTGGTGAGCTGGTGGCGTGGCGTAGGGGTCAAGGCCCAGTAGGCAGGGGCCTCGGCCCATGCTCATGGCTCAGAAGGGGCCACCTTGCACTGTGTCCAGCTTGAGCAGGGCTCTCTCTTCTGCCTCTACAGGAAGTTCTCCCTGCAGGACCTGCTGACCAACATCATGCTATACTGGACCACAGGCTGCATCGTCTCCTCCCAGCGCTACTATAAGGAGAACATGGGCCAGGGCTTCATGAACCAAAAGCATGATCGGTGAGCTCACCAGGGAGCTGGGGTGTGGCCTGGTGACAAGATAGCTATAGTTTGGCCCGGGTGTGCACGGGGGCCCAACACCCCAGCTCTGGCTCAGGGTCCAGTTTTAGTACGGCTCTGGTGGCTCTGATGGCCCTGAGACTTCAGATTCCAGACAGGGAAGGGAAGACAGCTGGAGCACTGGGGGCTGCCAGCGCCCCCCTCCTTAGTTGCCTCCTAGGGAAGAGCAGGTCCTTTGGACTGTCCTTGAGGAAAGGCTAAACAGATTTGAGGGGGCCAGCGTGGTAGTATAGCATGCTGAACTTCAGCCTGAGTTACTGGTATCCTATATGAGCACAGGCTTGAGTCGCCAACTGCTCCACTTCCAGTCTAGCTTCTGCTGATGGCCTGGGGAAACAGAGGAGGCTGGCCCCTGTCCTGGGTCTCTGCACTGACATGGGAGACCTGGAAGAAGCTCCTAGGCTCCAGCTATTTGGGGAGTGAATCAGCAGATGGAAGCTCTCTCTCTCTCCTCCTCTCTATAACTGGCTTTCCAATAATGAAAAAGAAAAGCTCTGGCTTTGGAAAGGCAGGTGGAAGGAGTTCTCATCTGTCTACTGGCTCACCCCCCACAAATGGCTACAGGGGCCCAAGGACTTGGGCTGGGCCGTTTTCCCAGGCACATTAGCAGGGAGCTGGATGGGAGGCCAAGCAGTCTGGTACTTGACCAGGGGATGGAGCACTTGTTAACCTGCTGAGCCACAAGGCCAGCTTCGCCTGCACTTCCCTTTATGGCTGGGTGTTGGTAGCTGGACAGGCCCAGACCCCACCCTTAAGGCTGTGTGTCCCTTCCAGGATGAAGGTATACGTACCTACGGGCTTCGCTGCCTTCCCCTGTGAGATCATGCATATGCCAGAGAAGTGGGTGAGGACCAAGTATCCGAAGCTCCTCTCCTATTCATATATGGCCCGCGGGGGTCACTTCGCCGCCTTCGAGGAGCCCGAGCTGCTGGCACGGGACATCCAGAAGTTCGTGGGGCTGGTGGAGCAGCAGTGATGTCCCAGTAACGCATCCTTCTGGAGGGTTTGCTTCCCCACCACCTCCTGCCAGAGTCCACCTCTCACTGCCACACTCACCACACCACCCCTGGCACATGCTGACACCTGTGGTAACAACATGGCTTTGCTAATAAATGGTTTGATTTATACCAGTGGCTGGAACCCGTTGATGAGCAGGGGTCACAGCCTACAGGCCAGGGCAGCAGGGGCCTGCAGGAGATAAGGCCCTGGCTGACTGTGCTGCCCTAGAAAGGGCACCCCCTGGAGGCAGTGGGAGTGGAGGGCTACTAGGGCAAGAGTCCAAGGGGCTACTGGGCCTGCCTTTGGTGATCACAATCCCCAGGGCAGCAGACACCCCCCTCCCCAACTACCCTTCCACCCTGAAGGGGTTGGACCCCATAGCACTGAGACAGGTGGGATGTCATGTCCAGCCCAGTGGGCACTTTATTAGTGGTCCTCGCTGTCCTTGCCTGCTGCAGAGTGGCCATGGCTCAGCCACAGCATCTATCCCAGGAAACATGATAGGAAAACAGGCCTTCAGGGGGCTGCTGCAGGGGCATACCCCTCCAGCTCCCGCCACATTCTAGCTTGGAGGGGCCGTGGGCCGGCCTCCCATCCAGATCCAGGATGGCCTGCTGCAGGAGGGGTTACCAGCTGGTTGGGGGCCTGCAGAGGTGGAGGCGGTGCTGGGCACTCAGGCTGGGGGCTCCCTTGCTCATAGGATGCTCCATTGCTTGCACAGTGTCCAATGTACATCAGCCTGGAAGACAAACCCCGACACATGGCCCCAGTTGCAGAGCTGGCAGCTTGGGCTGGGAATGTGAGGAGCCAGGAGGAGAGGGTGCTGTGTGCACTCCCCTCCTAGCTGCTGGGGCCAGGAATGAGGGGGACCGACTCCTGCCCCTAATGCCCTGCAGGTAGTCCCAGTTCCCTGCCCCACCTCCCCCAATCCCAGGTACAGAGCTCAGGTCCTACTAGCTCTGCCATTCATAACAACAGTGGAGCTTAAGACATGGAGCAATGGTGTGAGCTCAGCTAGGGGTGGAGGCACCTGCTGTCTCCTCCTGGGCTCCCATGCATGCGGCCCCACCCTGCCTGCCACTCACCCATCCTCAGGCCTCTTGGAAGTCAGCAAGCACACTGTCCGGCCCCGGCAGTGCTCCGCTGATATTGTGGATGGCACCATAGGTCTGCTGCAGCTGCGGGGACAGGGCTGTGGTCTCTGAGGCAAAACCGCCAAGAATCCGAGGCACATAAGGCTGTGGACAGGTGGGGAGTCAGCTCCCAGCAGGAGCAGGCGTGCAAGGGAGTGGCATCAGGATATGGGGTCAAGGGCCAAAGAGACCACAAGTACAGACTCGCCAGCCCACTGAGGGAGCAGAGCAGAGAAGTTTGCTTTGTTTCTCAGGAAACCAATGTCCTGGCAAAGTTGGTGGGTTGGGGAGGGTTGAGGGAGTGTTCTGCTTTCACACAGGAAGTCTGCACAGGCAGGCAGATTGTGGTGCATGGGACCTGGGATGCTGAGTGGGTCTGTATGGATGAAATTTCCTCCTACCCCAGGCTTAGGCTGCCTACCCTGGGCACCGAGCCCACCCAACTCCTCCACAGACCCAGGCCGAGAATGAGCAGTGCATACCTGCCCTGACCCAGCCACAGGTGGGTCTAGGCAGCGAGCTCTGTGGCTTGTCCCAGGATAGACAGGGGACGCACCCCCAAAGAGAACACGGCCCATGACATCAGCCCTGGGCTGTCAGAAAGGCAGTGGTCACAGCTTGGGGACCCAGTGGCTGTCTGATCCAGCCCTTTCTAGAAGCAGGGGGCACCAGAGAGGGCAGGAATCCTGGTGTTTTCCACAGTGCCTGCCTTTGCAGCAGGTGCACCACATTCATGAACTCCAAAGGGAAGCCTGTATGGTGCCCTCACACACCAGCAGGCACAGTGCTGGGGATCAAGCTTCAAACCGCAGGGTCTACTGACCTGTCTTGGCTTAAGTGACAAACACCCCACACACAGAACGTTCACAGCAGCAGACAGCCAGACACCTTGCCAGGGCTAATGATTGGTTCCATGACCAAGGTGTTAACGTGCAGAGGGCCCAGGGCTTCCTTCTGAGTAGACACACTGGGAGAACTAGCCTGCCACGTGACTAAGGGAATTCTGCCCCAGCAAGAGATGATCCAGCAAGAGTTGATCAAAGCACATTTGCCACAGCCCATCTGGCTGGAGACGGTTAACAGAGCAAGGGTGGGCAGCAGACACTGCGGAGGGGAGTGAGGGGAGTGAGGAAGGCTCACCGTGAACGGTGGGGGCGCACGGGCCTCAGCCTCGCTTCCTTTGTCACTTGCTGGTTCTTCTGTCTGCAGATAACAGCAAAGACTTGGAACAACCAACAAAACTGATCTCCCTAAATGAACAGCCTCCAAACAGACTTAACCTCCAGAATAACTACCAGCTGGCACCAGGCTGCCAGCAGCCCACAGCGGCAGGAAAGAGGGGAGGGAGTCGCATCCGACACCTGACCCATGGCTTCCCCAAGGATAAACTCCAGAAGGTGGCTTCCTGAGCCAAGACACGCAGGTGGCAGAGGATGGGCGGAGCCTCACTGTCCTGGGTCCCAGCTGGCAGTGCAGCAGCAGGTGCTTCTTTACCTTATAGTTGAGGGGGCTGAAGTGCTTGAAGCATCCAAAGCAGGTATAGGCCAGGCAGACCAGGATGGTGAGCAGCACCACCAGGAAGGTGAACAGGGTGGCGGGGGCCTTCATACCTGGGGACACAGGGATGCCAGCCTTGGGGGCAGCTGCCACCCATACTCACCCTCCCCCTGTCCAGAAGGGCTGCGCCTGGTACACAAACAGTGGATGACAGTGCCCTCTGGCAGGAACTAAAGGAAAAAGGCCCCTCCCTTCCCAGCCCACCCTCTCACCCCAGCAGCAGGTGGTATCTCCATAGCCAGGAGCACAATGAATGTGCCTTCTCATTGTCCCTGTTCTCATCTTAAGACACTGGGGTACCAAGTCAAGGGCATTTTGCCAGTATCCTGGCTGGATCAGTTTTTTCCAGTCTCAGGGTGCCCATGGGGGCTCCCCTAGCCTAAGACAGAGTCACGTGTGTCTTAATGCCACCACTCCCAAGGAGTATTCTGGATCAGCTGTTCCATCTCCTTGGGTGCAGTGCCAAGAAAGGGACCATCTCTACCCCTATGTCTAGGGATGTCTGGGGCCATGAGCAGGCCATTCCATGCTAAAGCTCCTCACGGAACCAGCCTGCCCCCTGCGAGGTTTATCATGTTCTCATTAGACACCCAAGCGGCCTGAGGCACACATTCTGATTGGGAACCAAGCTGATGCCCTTCAAACAGGGATCTGACTGGCTGATGTAGGTGTGGGAAAGCCAGGCCAAGAGCCAGGCACTCACCCAGGCGCAGGAAGGAGAAGAAGTAGAGCCAGAAGAGGCACAGGATGGGCGCAGCCAAGGCCTGGTTCACGGCAGCAAAGTGGATCCTCTTCTGCAGCTTGGTGGGAAGGTAGACAAAGTAGAGGTTGTGCCGGTCCACCATGTGTTTCAGCAGGATGTAGATGAGGCCTGCGGAGGAGGGGCAGTGAGCAGGGTTCTCATCAGGCCCCCCAGGTGCCTCTGCCCCTTGGTCCTCAGTTTACACATGTCTAGAGTTGAGTGCTGCCCTACTACGTGACTGCAGGAATTTTGCAGGAGCACATCCTGCTGCTCGTGTCCAGCTGCCCCTGTACCCATCACCCCCTTCCTAAGTCTCCTGAGATTCTGTCTGCTCAGGACTCTGAAGCACCAGGCTCCTCTTGGGAAGCAGGCTGTGTCACATGTGGATGCCCAGCCTCAGTCCTCCCAGACCCTTTCTGAGCCAAAGCCCCTGCCCCAGGCTCCCACACGCATGGCTGTCAGCAGCCACTCACAGCCCCCAGTCCAAGGCTGGGGCAGGAAGGTATGTGAGGCGTTTTATGCCAGGTTCTTCATTTTAAAATGCTTTGTGTTATTTTCAATGAATATATATGCAATCATTCAAATCATACAATAGAATACACAGGGCAAATAAACTTTCTCCTAGCCTTAACCCTCTGCTATCAAGGGTCTATTGGATGCTCTGTTTCTCTAGAGTCTTCCATTAGTCTGCTGGTTCCTGATGTTTTACTTTGGCCGCTAAGACTCCAGCCCTTAAAATGAAACAGTCCCTAAATTCAAATCCTGGCTCTCCTTCCTAACAAATGGACTGGTGAGAAGTCAGTGTAATCACCCACACGGTGCACTGGCACCTGGTTGGGATAAGAATGCCAGCCTGGGCTTCAACTCTTACAACACCACCACCTTACTGCCTTACTGGCTGTTAACAACCAGGAGGGCCTGGCATTGTGGTGGAGAGGGTTAAACCATCGCCTGTAATGCTGGCATATCAAATGGGCACTGGTTTATATCCCAGCTGTTCCAGCCCCAATCAACTCCCATGCTAATGTATCTGGGAAAGCACCAGCAGATAACCCAAGTGCTTGGACCCCTGCACTACCATACAGGAGACCTGCAAGAAGCTTCTGACTTTGGCTAGCCCCAGCCCTGGGACAGCTATTTGGGGAATAAACCAGCAGATGGAAGATCTATCTCTCCTTTTTCTCTGTAACTCAAATAAATCAATAGCTCTTAAAAAAAAAAATACAACCTAGAACAATGCAGTCACCTGGCATAGAACCTCAGGCAGGGACATAGGAGGAATGCAATGAAGTTGGTGTCGCATGTGGTCCCCAGCAGCTTGTGATTCTGTTGGCTACAGGTGGCCTACTGGGGGCCTGGTGTGGTAGCCTAGTGGTTAAAGTTCTCATTTTGCATACACTGGATCCCATATTGGTGCCAGTTCATATCCCAGCTACTCTACTTCCCATCCAGCTCCCTGCTAATGGCTTGGGAAAGCAGTCAAGGATTGTCCAAAGCCGTGGGACCCTGCACCTGCATGGGAGACCCAGAAGAAGCCCCTGCCTTCAGCTAGGCTCAGCTCTGGCTGTTGCAGCCACTTGGGGAGTTAACCAATGAAAGACAGATCTTTTTCTCTGTCTCCTCCTCTCTTTATATCTGACTTTGCAATAAAAATAAATACATTTTTAAAAAAGAGACCTACTGGCTTGAGAGCTCCCTAATGTCCAGGTGGCAGCTCTCCTGGGGGTAGTGTGGGGGCCAGCTGAAGTCAGCCACCCGGCTCCACGCCCACTCACCAAACGGCACGATGATGGGGCAGGTGATGCTGTAGGCCATGATGACGGTGAAGACGCACAGCATCCACGCGTACATGGCTCCAAACTCGTACTCGGATGCCTGGTTCTGGGAGCAGAAGTGGGGGTGACACAGACTGGTCCCACTCTGATACCTTCCTGGCAGGCTGAGTGGGCAGGTAAGCGCGGGGCAGGAGAGGTTGGGGGAACAGGAGCCAGCCACTGCCCTGTCCCATGCCATCCCACCCGGCCTGCTCCAGCTCCACTCCCAAGGCTCAGGGAGCTGCGGATTCTCCTCGTGTGTCCTGGTTCTAATCATTCTGCCCAGTGGCCCTTGAGAAACTGAGGATCAACTCCCCAGAGCTCAGGGCATCAGGCTGGCACCGGCTCAGCCCCCCAGCCCGGGCCTACTCTGCTGCATGGCATAGAATGGGGACCTGAACAGCAGACAAAAGAAGGTAGCCAATCCCTCTATCAGTGCCCACCGTGGTGGAGGAAAACTAATGAGAACCCCACGCTACCCCATTCAGGGACTCAAAACAAGTACCACTGACCCCAAAGGTCTCCGACAGCCATGGTTGTAACCCTATGCATGCAGATGGGGGGCCATGGAAGACAATGTGGGGGTTTCAGCTGTCTGTGTGTATGGCTGGGATAAAGCATGAAAATGCAAAAGCCCTAGAACTAGAGCATAGCACAGTGGGTTAAGCCACTGCTTGCAATGCCAGCACCCCATATCGAGTGTGGGTTCCAGTCTCAGCTGCTCCACTTCCCATCCCGCTACCTGCTTCCATGCCCAGAGAAGATAACAAACAATGGCCCAAGTCCTTGAGCCCTTGCCACCCCCATGGACACCTGGATGGGCATCTTGGCTCCTGGCTCCAGCCCTGTTAAAGTCATCTCAGGGATAAATCAACAGATATGAGATCTCTCTCTTCTGAGCCTTTCTGTCTCTCAAATCTTTGTGGGTTCTTTAAAAAAAAAGAAAGATTTATTTAAAAATTTTTTTTTTGGAAAGACAGATATACAGAAAAAAGGACAAAGAAAGAGAAAATCTTCCATCCACTGGTTCACTCCCCAAATGGCCACAACAGCCAGAGCTAAGCCTGTCCAAAGCCAGGAGCCAGGAGCTTCTTTCTGGGTCTCCCGTGCAAATGCAAGGTCCCAAGGACTTGGGCCATCCTCCAGTGCTCTTCCAAGCCACAAGCCACAAGCAGGGAGCTGGATGGAAAGCAGAGCAGCCTTGACATGAATCGGCACCAATACAGGATCCTGGTGCATGCAAGGCAAGGACTTTATCCTCTAGGCTACCGCACCAGGTTCCATAAACAAACGTTTGTAAAAATGCAAAATCCGACGCTGGTACTGTGGTAAAGCAACTTAAGCCTCTGCCTGGCACTGACATGCCATAGACACTGGTTCAAGTTCCAGCTACTCCATTTCTGATCCAGCTAATGGCCTGGGAAAGCAGTGGAAATGACCTAACTCCTTGGGACCCTGAACCCACATGGAAGACCTGGAAGAAGCTCTGGCCCCTGGCTCCTGCTGAGCAGTTGCAGCCATTTGGGGAGTGAACCAACAGATGGAAACCCTTTCTTTCTCCCCCTCTCTAACTCTGCCTTTCAAATAAAAATAATTTTTTTTTAAATGCAAGCCCTCCAAAATCTCTCCTTGCAGCCTGTGAGTGGGAGCAGAGGCTGGGAGAAGACAGGCTTTGTTCCTGCAGAAGCCCCTGTGTCCAGTCCAGTCAGAGGCCCTGCCCAGAAGCACCTGCTTAATGTTCCTGCGGTCAGCAGCCGTCTTAGCCATGAACATGCGGAAAGAGTAGAGGATGAGGCCCGGCAGGCGAACCATCTCCATGCCGTTGCCGATGAAAGCCGAGGCGATGACATAGTTCACAAAGAAGGCGCCCTGGTCAGGGAGGAAGACACACCTGGGGACCCAGGCGGGGTCTGTGAGTGGAGAGCAAAGGGAAAGGTAGGGCCCTGGGCTGGGCAGGGACAGCCACGGGCTTCAGCCCCATCCCTCACCTAGCCCGCGTCCACCCTGCACCTGCGACGGGGCATACAACCAAGCCCACCAGCACAGTGGACCAGGGGACTTGCCCAGAGCAGGGTAAGTGTTCTGTTGGGATGAGGGAAGGAAGCCACGTGGGTAGACATCACCCAGGTGTGAGAGGAGGGCTGCCATGTCTGAGGCAGCAAGGCGAGGGGGAGTCCTGGACCCCTCCATACAGAGGCACAGGCGTGTGCTACTCCACGGGGTAGTGGGGACACGTGAACCACAAGGTGTTGTGCAAGAGCAACTGCAAGACATTACGGAATGGGGAGCACGTGTTGGCGGCTCCAAGTTTGGGTACTGGAGAAGTAAAGTCTAGAAAGTTGCAAATGCCGGGCACTGAAGTGCAGGCAGGCAGGTGGAGGGGGCAGCTGGGTGACACCTATGGCGTTAATCACACATTTTAACTCTGGGGAGTAGTGGAGCAGCAGGAAGGGCCTGGGTCCAGCTGAGGTCACCCAAGAGAGCTGAGCCCTCCGGCCGCTGAGGTCTGGAGTTGCAGGATATGAATGAAAGCTCCCAGGGGCTGTGGAAAGAGGCCGTGGCTAGGCTGGCCAAGGGCTGGTGTGGACAGCAATTCAGGATCACGGGTGTCAGGTGTGGCACAGCACACAGAAGATCAAGTCTGAGAATGGCCACTGGGTCCTGCAGTCTGAAAGCCACTGTGCAGCCAGACAGGGGCCAGCAGAGCAGAAATAGATCTGCAGCTACCACTTCCATTCCCTCAGCCTGTCCTGCCAGCATACCCTATCCACTGGCCCCTGGAAGAGGCCACTCCAAGCCCAGGGGAGCCTTTGCAGGCAGGGCTGAGGTTGATTCCCAGTTCTCTTAACCAGCTGGGAAACCTGGGGCAGGTCACAGGATCGCTCTGGGCCTCATCTCCTGAGTGAGCACGTGTTCATAGGTGTTGGAAGGTGAACGGAGGGACAGGCTTTGGCACACCACCTGGGACACCCACATCACAGACTGTAGTGCCTGGCTCCAGTCCCAGCCATTTGGTATCCAATCTGTCTTCCTGCTAATGAGCACCCTGGGAGGCAGCAGATGGGGAAATATCCTCTCTGCACCTTGCAAATTATATGTGTGTATACATATATATATATATATATATATTTTAATGCCTTTGGCACTGATGTGGCATGAGGGCTTAAGCCACTACTTGCAATACTGGCTTCCCATAAGAGACCAGGCTGTTGTACTTGCAGTCCAGTCCCCTGCCAATGAACCTGGGGAAGCAGCCGAGGGTGGCCCAAGTGCTTAGGGCCTTGCACCATGTAGGAGACCCAGAAGAAGCTCCTGGCTCCTGGCAGCAGATTAGCCCAGCTTCAGCCAATGTGCCATTTGGAAATGAACCAGTAGATGGAAGATATCTCTCTCTCTCCTTTACTTCTCTCCCTCCCAAACTCTGCCTTTCAAAGAAAAAGTGTTTTTTTTTTTTTAAATTGCCTTTCTAAAATGCTAAATGAAATACAGATGTACAAAGTATTGAACTATCACCATTAGGTGAGTATGGGAGAAGTTTGAAACACCAACATGGAGCCAGAGTTGTGGCATAGCTGGTAAAGCTGCCCCCTTTAGGCTGCCCTCATCCCACAAGGGTGCTAGTTCATGTCTCGGCTGCTCCACTTCCAATCCAGCTCCCTGCTTTTGGCCTGGAAAGGGCAGGGGAAGATGACCTGCAGCCACATGGGAGACCTGGAAGAAGCTCCCCCTCCTGACTTCGGCCCAGCCCAGCCCAGCAGTGAAGCACCAGGTCAAAGCTCTTTGAGCACTTCTCATACTAACTCTTTTTCAAGAAAAATACAAATAAATCTGGAAAGCAAATCAACAAAAATCCTAACAAAACACTACCATCAGGGTCACGTGCCACTGTTGCCAGGCCACCCTTCCTAGGGGAGTCACGGGGGCCCAGCAGTGCCCTCTCTCCCCTGAGCTCTGGGCTCAGTGATAATGACTGAGACTGCCTCTGGCTACGTGAGAACCTTGGAGCCTCAGCACACTGCCGCAGGTGCAGCGCCCAGTAGGTGTGCTCCCACAGTGTGAGCAGCACCTACGAGAGAGCTGGGGAAGCCCTGAACCCCCCACTGCCTGCAGCTCTGACCACAGGCATCCCCACTGGAGCCTTTCCGGGACCCTTACCCAGGCCTGTGACTGCAGAGTTCAGTCCGGCTGATATACTTACTCCAACCTGATGGACGCCTCCGAGAGGGTTTTGTCAAAGAGCCACCGGAAGAAAAAATCCAGACTGGAAAACAAGAGAGCCCCATGAGCGAGTGTTCCTGGGCAGTCCATGTGTTTCCCATTCCTCAGGACCCACACTGGTGCTGAGCCATGCCACGTGCACTGCGCAGCATCCTTCCGGGCGACATGCAAACCTGTGACTGCAGCCTCCCTAGCAGGAAGGTCTCCAGGGAATGTTCCCACGTGTCATTTGGTTTGTTAAGGAAGGAAGGAAGCTATTTCCCCAGCATCCACAGGCCAGCCCAGCCACGCTAGACTTCAGTTGACTCCAAAACCATTTCCACTGTCTAAACATAATCCTGAGTCCCAAATCGGAGAGGCAGTGCCATGTACCTGGTGAGGCCGAGGGATGGCAGGATCAGCACCATGAAGATCAAAAAGATATACACCTTGGTCACCATGATCCGGTTCTCCCCCGACCTGCAGGAAGCCAGAGGTGACCACTCGCAGGGTTCCCAGGCCCCAGCCAGGTGCCCAGCGCCCTTGGGTGGTAGGCTGAGGGACATTCTGCTCAGTGGAGGGGTCCCAGCACTCACTTGGTCCAGTGGGACTCCAGCAGGGTGGAGTAGTAGACAGCGGATGGCAGCAGGGCCGAGAAAGACCAGAGCAGAAGGGTCGGAAAGAACTGGCTGATGACAGGGTTCTGGAAGAGAAGGTGGGAAGTGTGGCTGGAGGTCCAGGGACTACAGGGTCAGGGGCATGGACACCCTTTCCCCCTAGAACCAACACTGTACATCTGGGTGGTTCTTCCCTATGCAGTGATATGTCCAGCTGAACTCCAACCTGCTGCCAGCCCAGGTTAGACAACTCCCGTGCCTTATAGGCCAATGGCTTCTGTAAGCCAAAGGCCACAGGAAGACCCAGTGCTCCAGGCCAGGGCTCCAATTCCCACCCACCTGCCTTCCCAGCTCTCCTGGTCCACTGCAGCTTACAGGACCCTGGCATTTGCTCCAACTCTTGCTTAAGCTTGCAGCACCTGTCATTGGATGTACGTGACTTGGTTGACTTACTGCTTTTCTTTTTTAAAATACTTTTAAAATTTTTATTGGAAAGGCAGATATACAGAGAGGAGGAGAGACAGAGAGAAAGATCTTCCGTCCAATGGTTCACTCCCCAAGTGGCCACAATGGCCGGAGCTGAGCCAATCCAAAGCCAGGACCCAGGAGCTCTCCGGGTCTCCCACACGGGTGCAGGGTCCCAAGGCTTTGGGCCATCCTTGACTGCTTTCCCGGGCCACAAGTAGGGAGCTGGATGGGAAGTAGGGCCACCAGGATTAGAATCGGTGACCATATGGGATGTTGGTGCTTGCAAGGCGAGGACTTTAACCACTATGCTATCGTGCCGGGCCAACTTACTGCTTTTCACTGATTGAATGAACTTAAAGTAGTTTTGTGGAGTTGGTGTTGTGACAGGGCACCTTAATCAGATACTTGCAATGCCAGCATCCCATATGGCTGCTCCACTTCTGATACAGCTCCTTACTAATGCTTCCTACTAGAAAAGCGGCAGATGGTCCAAGAGCTTGGGCCCCTGTATCCACATAGGAGACTGAGATAAAACCCTGGTTCCTGTGTGGCCCAGGTCTGATCACTGTGTTCATTTGGGAAGTAAACTGATGAATGGGTGGATGAACTTTCTAACTGTGCCTTTCAAATAAATAATTCTTCAAAACTTTGTCTTTAGATTTAGAGAATACTTAATGAAGCCCAACTGCCAATAACACTGAATTAGAAAAGAGTAAAGTCATTAAAAAAAAGTAAAGACATTATAAAAGATATGAAGGTATTAGAAAGGATATGAAGTCTTAAATGTTTCTGTTTTTAGTGGCTTTGCGAGTTTATTTATTTATTTATTTATTTAGCTTCACTAGAGCTGGCATCGTGGCATAGCAGGTTAAGCTGTTGCCTGTGATGCCAGCATCCCATTCGGGTGCTGGTTCGAGTCCCAGCTGTCCCATTTCTGGTCCAGTTCCCTGTGTCTGGGCCACTGCCTACCACATGGGAGACCTGGATGAATGCCCGACTTCAGCCTTGCCCAGCACTGGCTATTAGGCCACCTAAGGAGGATAAGAAGACAGAATATCTCTGATTCTCTCTCTCTCTGTAACTCTGATTTTCAACTCTATTGTGATTTTCTTTTTCTGTTTTGTCTTTGTTTTAACTTCATATTGTTGTTGACCTTATTTTGTGGCTTCTCATTTAAGGGAATGTATAGTGATGGAGTAATATAGACTACCATATCCAGATGTGAAGATACAATGCAATATGCATCCCTACTTCTAAATCAAAGATGGATTTCCAATGAAACTGTTGAACATATCTAGACAATGGAATGCTACACTGACATTGTCTGTACCAGCAATATTGGGGCACACTTAAATAACAGACTGATGGGGCCCGGCGCAGTGGCGCAGTGGTTAAGGTCCTTGCCTTGCACGCCTGGGATCCCATATGGGCGCCAGTTCTAATGCCTGGCAGCCCTGCTTACCATCCAGCTCCCTGCCTCCCATCCAGCTCCCTGCCTGTGGCCCGGGAAAGCAGTCGAGGACGGCCCAAAGCTTTGGGACCCTGCACCCGTGTGGGAGACCCAAAAGAGGCTCCTGGCTTGGGATCGGCATAGCATCGGCCGTTGCACTCACTTGGGGAGTGAATCATCGGAGGGAAGATCTTCCTCTCTGTCTCTCCTCTCTGTATATCCACCTTTCCAATAAAAATAAAATAAATCTTAAAAAACAAAACAGACTGATGAAATTATAACTTGTTATGAAGGACCATACTATTGTAACAATATGAGGAAAATCAGTCAGGGGGTAGAATTTTTTTTTGGTGGGGGGAAATCCCAGACCCTACATAATTGTACCATAAAATTCAAAGTTTAAAAAAAATAGACGTATATGTCTTTAAAAAGAAGTTTGCTATAAAGAAATTGAAACCGGAATTAGAAACAATAAAACAAGGATGTGGTTTGTGCTAAACAGACAAAACAGACCCTTCTTCCAGAGAACAGGCCCATCCTAGGTCACAAGACCACCAAAGAAACGGACCTGTCAGCCTCCAACAAGCAGCCCCATGTCTGGGCAGATCTGTCACACGCCAGGCCAGAGCACCACTGTCTACTGAGTGGTCCTCACGGTCACCTGGCAGTGTGACACAACAGGTGCCTGCACCTTTCTGGGGTGGGAAACAGGTTTCGAGCTCCTCATGGGGGATAGCAAAGACCAGGACCGCAGGCACCCTGCCAGGCTGCCTTCTCAGAGGCTCATCAGCCAAATGCCAAGGGTAAAAGGGAGAAGATGGAGGGCGAAGTCTCAACAAAGCTCCCGGGAGACATCACTGCCCGTGTGAAGGCAGACGCCCACTTACAGGGCACGAAGCTGCCATCTCACTGAGCCTGCTGAGCCTTCTGAACATATGACTGTGTAAAATAATGGACAGAAACCAAAACGTAAGATGACTCATCCATGACCCTGCCACCCCAAACACGGAAGCGCTGCCCATTCGCTCCTGTCTCCCATGGAGTCTGCCATGTGCATAGGAAATTCTGCTTTTACCTGAAGCTGCTATGTTTGCTGCAGTTTACACAATCTTTAATGGATGTTCATTTAGTTGACTAAACATATCCCATTCCATTCAGATGGCCCCACAGAACATTTGATTGATTCTATTCATGTATTGTCCATGACTAGCACCATGGAATAACATATTAAGCCTCTACCTGCATTGCCAGCATCCCACATGAGCACTGGTTTGTGTCCCAGCTGCTCCACTTCTGATCCAGCTCCCTGTTAACATGCCTGGGAAAGCAGCAGATGACAGATGCTTGGGATCCTGCATGCTAGGGAGATCCGGAAAAAGCTCCTGACTTTTGACTGGCCCAGTTCTGCCACTGTGGCCTTTGGGAAGTGAATCAACAGATGCATGATTTCTCTCCCTGTTGTTACTGCCTTTACAATAAAAATCAATCCTTTAGGACCTAGCGTGGTAGACTAGCGGTTAAAGTCCTTATCTTGAACACACCGGGATCCCATATGGGCTCTGGTTCTAATCCCGGTGGTACAGTTTCCCATCCAGCTCCATGCTTGTGGCCTGGGAAAGCAGGCGAGGATGGCCCAGAGCCTTGGGGCCCTGCACCTGCATGGGAGACCTGGAAGTGGCTCCTGGCTCCTAGCTTTGCATCGGTTCAGCTCTGCCATTGTGGCAGCTTAGGGAGTGAATCAACGGATGAAGATCTTCCTCTCTGTCTCTTCTCCTCTCTGTATATCTGTCTTTCTAATAAAATTAAATAAATATTTAAATAATGATAATAATCCTTTTTAATGTATTTTTCACATTACTATAAAGGTGCTGTCTGTAATGGACAGAGCTAGCCTGCACACATGAGCTGAGGGACACGGCCTATAGGCTCAGCCTCCCTTCACACTCCTCTGTCCCTGTCCCTCCCCTGCCTGACCCCCATCACGCCCCTCAGTTCCTGTCTGTCCTCCACCCCTCAACCCCTACCCCCAACCTCGTCCTCCTCTCACCAGCCCTTGCCAATAGTCACTCACATTCAGTGCATGAATGGGTTTGGTGACGTTGAACTTGTCCATGGTGGACAGGATGATGGAGGGTGTGGTCAGGAAGAATAGCCCCAGGAAGAGGACGAAGTTGATGCCCAGCCACTGGAGCCACCAGCGGAACCCCTGGACGGAGAGATTTTTCCTGCAAAGGGCAGAGGCGGAGGACACATAGTGAGGCAGCTTTGACAGCCACATTCAGGCCCAATGACACAAAAGTGCCCTGGCTCAGGGCATCCAAAGGACAGACAGATGGGAGCCGGCATCATGCCACAGCAGCTAAAGCAGCCACTTAGGATGCAGCATTCTCTGCGGAAACTGGTTCAAGTCCCAGTTGCTCCATTTCCAATCCAACTCCCAGCTAATGACCTGGGAAAGCAGCAGAGGGTGACCCAAATGTTTGGGCCTTCATCTGGGAGACCCAGATGAAGCTCCAGGGTTCAGCCTGGCCCAGCCCTGGCATCTGGGGAACGAACAAGTAGACAGGTGGTCTCTGTATGTCTCCTTCTTTCTCTGTAACTCTGCCTTCCAAACAAATAAATGTAACGTAATCCTTTTCCTAGTTCTCACAGCCAATTTAGGTCAAATTTTTAAAAATATAGAAGACCAGTTTGCAGGAGAAGTGGTATACAGGAAACAGCTTCATCTGACAGGAGTATGCAAAGAATATGCAAGTTTCCCATAAGACTTCATAAGCTTGGTGCATTTTTAAGATGTTTTAGCTATTGAAATTTGTTTGTCTCTTAGAACAATGACACACAAACAGATGTAATTCTTGTGGTTTAAAATGAGTCATATGAGGTATATAATTCTAAAAATCACTACTTTACAATGTCCCTTAAGCAAGATTGAATTTAGTTTTGAGTTTTAGTCTTGCATGGACTAATGACCTCTAACTCCTGCCTAGTGACACAAAATATGATGTTTTAATGCTGTAGAAACAGCGTCAAAAGGGAACCAAGATGTGTTTTTTTCATAGCTGGCATACAGCACACAGCTAGATACATAAGCAGCTTCTAAGAGCTGCCGTGACACAAGCCAGTAGGTCAAAATATACGCTGCACCATTAAAATAGATGAGAGGTTTAGAAAAAACTCAGTCAAATTCTGGGCCGAAGTTGTCAAGTTGGTATAGAATCGGGTAAGTTTTGAAAGTTTATCCTCACTTGGGTGGAAAGGTCCTTAGGTTGTTCCTTGGGGCCTGGTGCAATGGCTCAGTGGCTAAATCCTCACCTTGCATGAGCTGGGATCCCATAGGGATGCTGGTTCATGCCCCGGCTGTTCCACTTCCCATCCAGCTCCCTGCTTGTGGCCTGGGAAAGCAGTTGAGGAAAGCCCAGAGCCTTGGGACCCTGTACCCACATGGGAGACCCAGAAGAAGCTCCTGGCTTCAGATTGGCTCAGCTCTGGCTGTTGCAGCCACTTGGGGAGTGAACCAGTAGGTGGAAGATGTTTCTCTGAATCTCCTTCTCCCTGTATATCTACCTTTCCAATAAAAATAAATCCTCAAAAACAAACAAACACAGTCTGTATTGGGAAATTTGAGATTTTGAAATTTAATTATGTCCTGCCAGTTTAAAGGGATGCTGCAGAGCTGAACTTGAAGTCACTGGGCAAGATTATCTTTCTCATGCTGTCATTTATAGTTTGTTTTTCTAAGAATCCTTGAGATTAAAGTTTTGGTTACAAAAACAAGTTTGAAATTTCCTAGTACAGATGTAATTAAAATAAAACAAAACACCAAAAGGTCAAATAGGAACAGGCCCTGGATGAGCCTAGGGACTCTGGCTGGGGGCTTGCATGGGTATCAGAGGTAACGGGCAAGATTGCTGCCATGAATTCCAGGATGTCCTGTCCAAAGAGAGACCAGGGAGCTCAGAGGGAAAACAGGTCACTCTCCCCTGGCTGGGGACTGGCTGAATGGGTCCCACAGGCACTAGACTGACCACAGAAGCCTCCTGTGTGCAGCTCCCGGACATGTCTCTGTGGCCAGCGACGCATTCTCCCCCACGAGGCCTGGTGTCTCTGGGCCTCTCACCCCTCCTGAGGGCAGAACCACACAGCAAACCCAAGCTCAGGGAGCCCCTGAACTTGGACCCCGGTGTGATAAAGGCAACCTGTCCATTCCATACATGGACTCAGGCCATGCTGCATGGGCTATCATGCCAGGGCTCCTGTGGTGGCTGCCCTTGCCTCAGGTTGGCTTGCCAGTGGCCACATGGACATGCTCCCCTCACCAGCCAGACCCCTAGACTGCTACCCGACCTCAGGCTGCACTGTCGAGATGACAGCCACAGCTACACATGGAATGTCACTGCTTGGGCATGAACTACATAAACTCCCTAAATGAAGCATGAAAGAGAATGAGAAAACCAGCTTAACTTAAAAAAAAATGCTGCCACATTGAGATGATAACATTTTGGCTACACAGCAGCCTTCCCTAATCTGCAGTGGCACTTCCTATGGGTGTGGCCCACAGCCCATGAGATCCAAAAATGCACATAGAAAATTCCAGAAATAAAAATCTAGGTCTTCAAGTGCATATGGCTCTGAGCAGCACATGAGAATTCTCACTGTCCTGCTCCGTCCTGTCTTGGATGCGGCTCACCCCTCTGCCCAGCGTATCCCCACTGAGTATGCTACTCACCCATCAGCCACTTGCTCACCATCTGGGTTATCACATCTCCTGGCACAGCCGCACAGTGCTTGTGCTCAAATGACCATTATTTACTTTAACAATGGCCCCAAGGCACAACAATGATAATGCAAGTATTGTGGGTACCCCAAAGAGAATCACAAGGGTTTGGTTTTGCCCACAGTTGCAGGCATTTCCTGCAGCAAAGAGCCACAGTGTACTGGCAGATTCCGGAGGAACATGAACTGCAACTGTTTCCTTTTGCTGGTAGTTTGTACCTCATTTCTGCCCACTAGAGGGCCCAGAGGGAGGCAAGCTGAAGCAAAACAGCTGGACTCCAGCTCACAACCCACTCACCCACCTACCCACTCACTCACTCACCCAGACCCAGCCCAGGGCTCACCAGCAGATATCCTCAGGGTACGCGGCGAAGGCCACCGTCCACTTGGAGGTGCAGAGCTCCCTGCTGTAGGAGGACGGCTGGGGTTCCCCTTTGCAGTGCAGGCCCTGGCACTTGCAGGCATTGAAGTCTTTCAGGATGCTGCAGGAATGCAGAAAGCACTGGGGGCCAGGCCTGCCAGCACACCGTACATGCATGTGGCCAAGACAGACTAAGGGGCACACCAGCTTGGTGGTGCAGGAGTTTTCCCCACTACTCTCCTGTTATACTGAAGACTACAGAGGAGGGACCTCCCATGGCACCAGCCCAGGGATGACAGTGCTTAACCTGACAGGCCTGCAGGCAAGAGACCCTGACCCCATGCATCTTCCTCCATGAAGGGGAGTGAGGCTCCCCTTGGCTGGGTCCAGGCACCCCCATATTGCTCCTGCCTAGGCCACCTCCTGAACTCTGTCCACTCGATCCTGCTGCCAGCCTAGCAGCTTCACCATCCATTTCCACTTTTTGAGCCTAGCCCCAGAATAGTGCCAAACGACACATCCTATCCTGAACTCCCCTCCCCAGCACCCCAGCCTCGACCATCTCTCTCAGGGGGTTGCCCCTGCTCCCTCTTTAGCCTCCCATAAGGAACCCACCAACTCCAACGCCTGAATCAGAACAGCTTCCTGAGTCCAACATTAAGTGCAGCAGGTGAAGCTGCTGTTTACAAGGCTGGCATCCCAGATGGGAGTGCTGGTTCAAGTCCCAGCTGCTCCACTTTCCTTCCAGCTCCCTGCTATGTACCAGGGAAAGCACTAGGAGATGATCCAAATGCTTGATCCCGTGCCACCCATGTGGGAGTTCTGGTTGGAGTCCCAGGCTTTGCCATGGCCCAGTTCTGGGCATTGCAGCCATTTGAGGACTGAGCCAGCAAGTGGAAGATTCCTCTCTGTAACTGCCTTTCAAATAAATAAAACAAATCTTTCTTACAAACCAAACACTTTTCATATACTGACTTCCACCAGGACGTGGTCCCCAGGGCCACCAGGCCTAAGCCCAGGAGGGAGGGGACAAGCACCGGACTGGCCTCCTTTCTGCATATTTCTCCCAACCCCATCCACCTGCTGCTCCCAGGGTGAGGTGACACCAAGATCCCAGGGGTGAAGACACTTCGTGAGCTCTGAGCTCTAGGCTTCTCCAAGCTGGGGGCCTTCCCCAGGAAGTGTGACATCCATCGGAGGAGCAGGGACGGGGGTGCCATGGACAAAAGGAGGGGCCATGTTCCCACCAGGCATATGAGGAGGAGATATAACCACCCCCACGGCAGAGTGCAGGGCACAGAGCCACTGGGATGGACCCTGCGGCTGCTGGCAGGTGCCTTGTCGGGGTGAGGGAGGCAGCCCATGGTGGACCAGAGTGTCAGCTGGAGCCACCACTCTATACGCACCACCCATGTCCCCTCCCCACTGCTGTCACACACTTAGGGGCTGGGTGCATCAACAGAATGAAGGAAGCACTGTCTACCCAAGAGAGGGGGGGGGCAGGGATTCAGTGGGCCAGGCCTGGAATGCCCATACACACTAGGTGGCCATGGACTGCTCCTGGAAGGTGACGAAGGCCATTCCCAGGGGCTGGTCCTGGACCCGGCGTTCCTCCTCTGTGATCCGCTCCAGTAGCCCATCCTTTAAGTGTGTGTAGTAGGCGATGGCATCCTCCTGCCACAAGACACAGCTTGGTGGACTGAGGCTGTCCCGGCAGGTGTCAGGGCCCACTCCCAGGGCGGAGAGCACGGAATCCTTACACGCTCACACCCGCGAACTTCACAGCAACAGAACTGGCCACAGGGCTTGGGGTTGATGAGCGTGGGCCGACCGGTCTTCCGCTGCAGATCTGTGTAATAGGCCAGGCTCTTCTCTGTCTTCTTCCTGAAGGGAACAGACTTCAGACCCAGTCCCTTGGCATGGACCCCACGTCCACAGTGTGATTATCAGTGGCCAAGAAAAAGTGGGCAGTCTGGCTGCTTCCTCAAGGCAGGGCAGGGCTTCCTCTGCTGGCTGGTGGATCCCAGGCCAGCAAAGGAGGAGGAAGGGAGAGAGGGGCCAAGGGGAGGGGTGCAAGGAAGCTACGGGCCCACCCACTGCCCCCCTTACCTTTCCTGGCACAGGTAGAGCAGCTCAGCCACATTGTAGCACAGCTGCACATCCACCACCTCACACGTGGGGTATGCGTCCCTGTGGCCAGAAGCAAATGACAGTTATTGTGAAGGGGAACCCTCACGGCTAGCACTGTAAAGGGGACGGGTTAGGCTGCTGCCTACAAGGCTGACATAACACCTGGGCAACATTTCAAGTCCTGACTTCTTCACCTCTGATTTAGTTCCCTGCTGATGTGCCTGAGAAAGCAGAATGCAACCCAAGTGCTTGGGCCCCTGTCACATGGGAGACATGAAGAAGCTCCTAGCCCAACTTTAGCCATTGCAGCCATTGGGGAGTGAACCAACAGATGGCGGCCAGGCTTCTACCTACTTGACTTTCAATTAGCTGGCTACTTTTCCCTATGACACCCACCACCCGCAAGCGGATTCATGGCCTGTCTCAGATCAGAATCTATCCCGGCCATCACTGAAATCTTGTTGAGTCTGTAACATTTTTGAATGTCACAGATCCTTAGAGGGTTGAATGAAGCAAAAGATTCTCATCCAGAAAATATCTAACAATCAGCAAAATACACACTTAACATTGGCCAGGTACCATTACACGTACTAACTTATTGAATCCTCATTGGATCAGAAAACGAGACACCCACAGGTGAAGCAGCTTGTGCCTGGTCACGCAGCTGGCCAGTGTCTGACCTAGGACCTAGGCATGGCTCCAGGTCCCAGGCCCACAGCCATCATACAAGGGCCCTCACCACACACAAAGAACCACACACACAACTCCTGGCTGCAGGATCACATAAATCCCAACCTACACAGGGTTTGTGCTGTGGCATTATGAGTAAAGTTGATGCCTGCGGTGCCAGCATCTCATATGAACTCCAATTCATGTCCCAGCTGCTCCACTTCCCTTCCAGCTCCTTGCTTTTGACTTGAGAAAGCAACAGAGGATGGCCTGAATCCTTGGAACCCTGTACCTGCATGGAAAACCTGGAAGAAACTGCTGGCTTTGGATCAGTTCAGCTCTGGCTGTTGTAGCCATTTAGGGAGTGAACCAGCATCCCTCTCTCTGTCTCTCTGTAAATCTGATCTGCCTTTCCAATAAAACCAAATTAGTTTTTTTAAAAATTATTTTAAAAATCAGTAGGGCAATCTCAGGCCTCTGTAAGAGCTCTGAGGGGCAGCCCCAGTTGAAGCAATCCCACCAGGAGGTGAATCCACACCAGCAGCTCGCTCAGCACAACGCTTCGTAACAGAAACAGGAGACTCACAGGCCGTGTGGGAAGCAGCCTTCCTGCTAAGCCAACACTAAGCGGAACCAGGGTCTCCCAATGGTGTGAGGCATGTGACTTGGGAAAAACAACTTTGGTATCAAGTGTTTACACATAAGTGGTTTTCCCTCAATGATTCGTAGTTTCTGAACTGTTAACATTCATCTCACAATGCTAGTTATAACTAACAGTTCACTTAGTGAGTACCCGCTTCATCAACCGCACAAAGTTAACATGAAGCCAGTTTCTAATCCACGTAAGAAATGAGTGGCTACAAGCACCAAACCAACCTCAGCCTCTGAGGTGGACTTTCAAGTCCTCTGGCTCAGGGTCCAGGAGCCTCCTGGATTGCTAGCCCTCACCCCTCGCCCCTTTTTCCTTATTCACGTGAGGACTCCAGGCCTCTCTCCCAGTCTGTGTGTGTCTTGGGACAACATCTGTACTATCCTCCACCCGCAGGCATTGCTGGGGCAGCTGCTCGCTGGGAAGCCAAGCCAACAGGTGCACGTGGCCTGGGGCCCTTCCCCCGCTGAGGCTCCTGCTTGTGGGCTGGCACACAAACAGCTCACGTACCTCTCACTCTGCAAGGTGACTCCCTCAGGTGTCACTGAGAAGCCAGGGCCAGCCACTTTTTTCCCATGTATCATACCTCCCTCCACACATACGCACCTGTACTCTGGACACCGCAGGGTCATCTGGGGCCACTGTGGCTGCCTGCAGAGACTGGGTCACCCTAGCCTCGCCCCTCTCACAGCCCCAGTAATGCCAGCACCTGGCAGGCATTTGATACCGTGGTGGCAGGGCCAGGTCTTTCTCTGGTGTCACCTTGACACTAGGTAGAAGGCACAAGGTGTCCCCTAAGGTGCTTGCCCACGGAACTGTGGTGACCCCATCTAGAAGGGGAGCAGCACCCCTTCCATCCCACAGTCCTGCTTACCGGAAGTGGCTTTCCACAGTCTCCTTCTTGGCCTCTCTGGGGAGCCCAGTGACGAACAGGGTCCGCCTCACCTGCCAGGGAAGCGCACCAGTGAGAGAGGTCACGAGAGCTGTCCAGTGTGCTGGGACCAGCTGTTGCACTCCATCCAAACAACGAAAACACGAGGCCAGGGCTTTCTCCCTGCCTGGCCTGGGCGAGCCCTGCAGCATGTACTGGCAAGTAACCTCTGGAGGCTGTAGCAGTTCACCTTCAAAGCAATGGCAAGAGCCTCCTCTGTGTGGTGGCACTGAGACACTGTTCTGGGGGTGCAAGCTACTCAGACGAAGTCAGGGAAAGAGCTGCTCCCAGCCCAAAGTTCCCAACCTCAGCAACCACAGCCCAAAGCCCACACATCACGGGGGTAAGTTGGCAGAATTGGGGAAAAAAATTCCCAAACTAACAACAACTCACCAGGAAATGAAAACAAAAAGAAGCCTGCCACTGCTCAGTGGGATCACGAACACAGGGGTCAAGGCTGCAAGGCCCTCCCGGCCCCCAGCCCCACTCACCAGGCTCTCCTCCTTGTACTTGATGGACCGGGTGTGGTGCCACATGAAGCCCACGGTGAGGAACAGGTAGATGACGGCAAAGATGGTGTGCAGCCAGAGGAGGTCATTGCTGAGAGGACAGTGCCTACATCAGCACTGATGCCCAAGGATGGGGGCAGGCCCTGACCTGGGGCAACCAGCTGCACCTCAATAGGTGCCTCCCACAAAAGCCGTGGGGACTGCACCTCTCTGCCCATCACAAGTACTTGGAGTACCTGGTCCTGACAAATGAGCTCCAGATCCGTTGACCCTCCCTGTCTGGAGTCCCCTCCCACCTAACAGCAACAGCCCGCAGAGTTCTGTGGCCCGGGAGCATGCCAGCTGCAGGAGCAGGCACTCCTCAGCCTACTGCTCTGGGCCACTGCTGGCTGCCCCAGTGAGGACACTCACTTGGTCTGCAGGTTGGCTATCGTCGTCCTCCCGAAACTGTAGGGATCCTTGTCTGCAGGGAAACACGGATGCTTAGCTACATGGTCATGGCTAGGGATGGCCCAGCCTGGGTGCATGGAGCTGAGAGAAGACATGGCCCACAATGCCAAGACCAGCCAGAGATGGGAGCCACCCAGGGCTCCTGCCTGCTACAAGATGCTCCCAACTGCCTTCAACCCACCGCACAGGCAAAGGCAGGCTGGCACTTCATCTTGCCTTGAGAGGTTTGGTTTGGTTTTGGAAAAGTTTCAAGGAAACCAACAGCAGCCTAAGCTGTTCCCAAAGCCAAGGCAGGGACCGACCAGGCATCCTGGGTGGCTTCAGGATAGCGCTTCAGAGCTGGATGCCCAGGGGTGCCTGGGGATGTGACACTGCCCTCGGATCTTCACCGAGTGACATCCTCCATGGTCCCTGACCATGATCTCCTAATCTGGGTGAGGGCAGGAAATCATAAAACACTCTGCAAATGTCCCCAGTTATATAAATTCTGGGGTTTGCAATCAGAAACTGCTAGTAGGGGCCCAGCTTTTGTCCTGACTTTGGGGTGACTTTTTTCTGGCACTTCAACTAATTGAAAAGGCTCAGAGGGTCACCCTGAGGTGCCTTCCCCCCTATTCTACCCTGCCCCGAGGCCCAGGTTTCTGACCCACTGCTGCCACAGCAAAAGGGTACTCACCCAGCAAGTCTCCCGAGAGATTGACGGGCAGGATGACGCACAGGGACAGGAGGCTGAGCAGCACCAGCAGGAAGATGATGTGCCTCTGGAAGGACAGGTAGTGGATGGCGTCCTCGCCACACCACTGCAGGATCTGGTCGTCGCTGACCAAGACACAGACGCTGTCTTAGCACGTGCAGCATGCTCCCCACACAGCCCTCAGGGCAGCCTGAGGCGGAGGCACTATGATCACGCCCTCCGTGTTTTTCCACACGAGGAGGAGGAAGAAATGTGTGGAACTCTGGGGGCCACAGCATGGGTCCCTGAGCCTATTCCCTCTCCACACTCAGGGCAGAGGCACTGCCACCACCCTGCCTGGTGGCTGGGAGCGTCAGGGTTTCCAACCACATGGAGACTAGGTGGTGAACTGCTTCCTGTACCATACCCCCTGTCCCATGGTGCATTGGTTACCAGCCTTTCATTCCCAGTGAGGCAGGGAGAGTCGCCTCGCCATCCCCTACTCTGTCCTCTGCCTCAGGCCAGCTGGGAGAGAGGAGTGGACACACTAACTAAGGCTTGGCCACATCACAGTCTCTGTGTCCCCACTGTGGCCCTAGAGATAGAAGGCGATCTGCTCCACTCCCACCCTCCCAGTCCTACCCTAGGATGCTCTTGCCCAACTGTGATTCCAGAAAATGTCATATTCACACAACGAGACTCTGCTTTACCTGCTCTGCTGTTGCCCTCTGCCCTGCTTTCACAACCCTAGCACCAGGCAGTACTTGGAGAGCACTGTGTGAAGTATGCTGGGTGGGTCTGTCACAAAGTGCCCACTGCTGCCCTGGCACCCACAGCAGCTCAGGAACAGCTGCTGCCTGGGGCTGCCTGGGGCTCCCTGGGGCTGCATGGGCTGCGAGCTACAGCACGATGCTTTGGGACTTACCATGTTGTCCCCTTTCTCAGTAAACCAGCTCCTTTCTGGCCTCCTCTGGTCTCCTCCTGCCCCAGGGTAGAGTCCATGGGCTTCTCCCACTGGACTCTACCCCAGCAGCAAATCCCAGCAAACCTCTCATGGGTAGCACCCCCTCCCTCATACTGGTTCACCTGACTTTGGGAAAGTGCATGCTGTCCCCAGGTCCCTCTGACATTTGGGGAAACAGAGGCCCAGGGAGAGGCAGGCCCTCATGGTCCTGCAACCCACACATCTCAGCAAGGCTAAGACACCCTCTTCCTGCTGCAGCTCCTTCCAAGGGGTTGTACCTGCAGTTACAGCAGCCAGCAGCTTACAGGGCAGCACTTTCCTGCCCTTGGTGCAACACAAAATAACAAACTCCCTAGAGTGAAGCCTTTGACACAAAGCAACAGGACAGAAAGGGCTGAGCAGGACACACATCTGGAGCCCAACTCCCAGCTCCTGCCTCTATGGCAGACAACCCAACCTGCACTCATCACCAAACACCTCTTTAAGAATCTCTCTGTAGGCCCCAAGTTCTGAGAAAATCAAATGAGCTCACTGTATTTTACAGCTCCACCTCTAATTCAAAAGACATGGGCAGCCTAGAAGAGCTTCCGTCCACATCCCATCTGTTAAACATTAAACAGAACAATGACAGTCTAAAGGAAAAAATTCCCTTACGCAGCATGATAAAAGATGAACATGTGATGGGGAGGGTGTCATGGTGCAGCAAGTTAAAGCCACTGCACCCACACCTCATCCGGGTGCCAGCTACTCCACACTTCTGATCCAGTTCTCTGCTAATGTGCTTGAGGAAGGCAGTGGAGGATGGCCCAAGTACCTCAGTTTCTGCCAGCCACTTGGACCCCAACAGTTTCTGACTCCTGGCTTCAATCTGGCCTAGCTCTGGCTGTTGCAGACATTAAGGGCATGGACCTTCTCTGGTTTTCCCTTTCTCTGTCACTGCCTTTCAGCATTCCACATGGGCCAGGATCCCATATGGGCACTAGTTCAAGTCCCAGCTGCTCCTCTTCTGAGCCCAATCCCTGCTAATATGCCTGGGAAAGCAGAGGAAGATTATTCAAATGGCTTGGTTTCCTATAACCATATGGGAGACCCAGAAGAAGCTCCAGGTTCCTGGCTTCAGCCTAGTACAGCCCTAGCCATTGCAGCCATTTAGGGAATGAACCTGCAGATGGAAGACCTTTTTCTCTCACTATTTCTCCTTCTTTTTCAGTAACTACATTTCAAATAAAGAATCTCATAAAGGAAAATGAACACACAATTCCCACTGAATAGGCTAAAGTAAAATTCATCGGCACCTTCAAGAGCCCTTGGGACCCACGTGCAGCTGGAAGGGCGCAAGCTGCCACAGGGACTGCATGTCCTCAAGACTCTTCCTGTTCCCAAACTCCTGACCTGGGGGGTAGCCCAAGTCACCACAGCCTCCATGTGCTGTCTTGGACATGAGCTGACACATGTCTAAAAGACTGTCTCAGCATCAGCATCCTGGTCCTCTCCTTGACTGGCCAAACACCCTAACCATTCTGGTCTGGCAGAGGCTGCAGTAGCTGCCCACGGGTACTCACTGCAGACGGAAGATGGCGGTCAGCCAGGGGCAGCATCCCTGCAGAGAGAGAGGGGATCAGCTTCAACACCCGGGTCTTAGGGGAGGCTGACATCAATCTCCTCTCTGACACTAAATGACCACTGACCCACCTCTCACCCAAACCAGCATTTCTGCCTGTACATGGTCCAGCTGCCACCTGTCCCAATCACAATGGGCCCAGCCCTTCACAAGGTGCCTGGCATTCCTGCTAAAAATCTCTCCAGCTGACAACCGGAGGACTCACAGATGCCCCAGGGTGCAACCAGGCAACTCAGAGCTAGACCAGGGCAGCTCTGGGGAGAATGACACTGGTGACTTCCAAGAGACGGTGTGAGTGGTGGCATTAGAGAGGAACCCAGCCTTGGGCACCAGACTGTTCCCACTGGAATGCAGTTCAGAGAGGGAAACTGATATCTGGAGGTTCTTTGTGTCCTTCCGGTCTATCAAAGGTAGCCCTCCCCAGAACTGGGCTGCTCCCTGGCTGGGAAAGACAAATATTTGCCTATCATTCCTTCAACAGTGACTAAGCCCCTGCTGGGCCCTAAGTGCTGAGGAACAGGGCTAGATAAGGAAGGGTTCCTGCCCACACCTGGCTCATAATCTAGCAGACAAATCAATAATTAACTGCCACCAAAGTCACAGGCACGATGAGAGCCACTCGAGCTGGGAGTAACCTGGGGGATGCTGTAGCCTGTTCTGCCTCATGGCCCCAGCCGCACTCCCACCGGGGACTCTTCCAAGCGAAGGTGTCTCTGTCAATCCAAACAGCAGCCTTCCCTGGCAGCTGCCACTTGCTCGAGGACTAAGTCAGCCCCTGCATCAAGAAGTCAACCGGCCTTCCCCTCCCCGAGGACCATGGCCGGTGCCCTTTCTCCCCATCACCCACCACAACCTTCCCTAAGATACCAACCAACTCATTTTCAAAGTCCTGTTGCCCCGAGGAGGAAGTTGATGACAATCTCTGGTATCTGGACTCACTAAAGAGAAGAGTGGGGAAATGACAAGAATTTTTTTTTCATTTTTATTTTAAATTTTGAATTTTACAGTACAATTCTGTAGAGTCTGGGATTCCCACACCCTGACTGATTTTCCCCATATTGTTACAATAATTTAGTCCTTCATTTTTTTTTTAAAATAATGCCCAGTATTTTGCTGCCTCTCAGAGTCTAGAACCCCAAGCTACCAGCCTCCCATGATTGGGATAAAATATGACTCTGAGATGCAGGACATGTTCGTGTTCAGGGGCAGTGTCAAGCTCCGTGTCATATGGGATGAATTATAGGGGCTCGAGGCATCCACAACTTTGCCCATACTCCCACCATGGAACTCCTGGGACTTGTCCTTCGAGTGGCTTCAAAGTGTTGTCTGTTCACAATGAGTTTTGTAATGTATCAAATAAAACTGGGAGTAACTACTACAATTCTTCAAATCAGAGACATAGTGTGTAAAACATACTATTATCTTAAGAACCATTAAGAAATAAAACCATGACGATTAAACTGCGATCACAAGACGTGTGCCCATTTCAGAGGTGAGAAAATGCCAGCACCCATGCGTCAGAGTTGCAGCGCTGCAGTGGTTTTGCGTTGTGGCACCTTCGTCTGATCCTCAGGGGCATTCAGGAACTTTGTTCTGTCCTGGTCCCACCTCTGATGGCATAAAACATGCCGCTCCTTCCCCTTCCGAGCACTCACACAGATGCTACCTCATAGGGCCTTCACACTCACCCCATGGGCAACAGAGGCCAGAAGAGAGACCCCGGTCAGCGTGGGGACTTAGCCACAACTCAGGAGGGCCTCCCGATGCCCAGTGCACTTGTTGATGGCACTGCCTGGACTGCTTAGGTCATAAATACAGCAGACATGCCAAAAGGCTCTCCCTCAACTTCAAGGTCATCCGTTTGGGCTGTCGGCAATGCCAGAAGAGAGGACACAGGGAAATAAGTGCATTTACGGATCCTTTTTCCAGGCCACACAAACCACGGGAGCAAGTGTAAGAGTGATAGGCTGTCCGTGAGCACCCTTGGAGTCCTCCCTGACTTTGCCCACGTGCTGCAATTGCTGCATCCCACACAAGATCCAACATGCAAAACAGCTGGCTGGAGCTGGAAAGTCTGGTTGTGCAGACTGAAAGTTCATGGCCCTCCTTCAGCTAAAGGCAACGAAGAGCCATCAGAGCCCAGTGTGGATGGGAGGCAGGGCAGCTCCCAGAGGTGCTCAGCCAGCACCAGCCCCTGGCAAGTGCCTTGCACAGGTTCAACACTGATACACACACACACTCGGGAGACAGAAAACGGGCAGCATCCTCAGTTACCCTGCAAGCCCTAAGGCAGCAGTGTCCTCAAAGTCCCAGCCATAGCCCACCAGGAACCCTAAAACAGCGAGCATGAGGACAATGAGGCTGACCTTATGGGGTGAGGTGAGGAACAGAGAGGACAAGGGCAGACCCAGGCCTGGCAAACACAGTCAGTGAGCCACAGTGCAGGTGCAGACCTGCTCACATGGCCCACTGCTCACGCATGCACACCCACAGTGCAGGCAACTCTGTTCCTCTGCCTGTTTTGTTTTGTTTTGTTTTTCACTATTTTATTTTTAATATTGTTTACATTACCTGCCTGTCTCTGACACCAGGGCAATGCGGCCATAATCCCAGAATCTTCTTCTAATGATGGAAAAGCCACAGATTAAAATCTAAAAGTAGAAAAGAAACCCAAAGTCAATCAAGCTGCTTCTCGTGAGACCCTGTCACAGCCGCCAAGCCTTCCACTTCTGCCCAGGAGCAGTGGAACCTCAAGGAATCACTCCCAGCCCAGAGCCGGGTACTCTGCTCACACCCTACACCAGCCACTGTCACCATGCCTGCCCCGGAGCCCTACCCTGGTCCAGTACATTAGCCCCTGGAGGCCCTGGCCTTGGCCTTGCCTGTCTGCAGCATGCCCCAAACAAACACATCTCTCCTGGGCTGGCCCAGGAACAGGCCAGCTGGTTCTCTTGAATACAGGCCCAATACCATTCAAGGGGCTGCACTTCATCCACTGGTTTCAAAAACTCCAAGATTCCAGCCTACCCCTCGCTCTCCCTTTGGCTCTGGCCAGCTCATGCCTCCCTCCCCTTTACCACTCAGGGAGGCAGGGAGAGACCCTTGAGTTATTTCCAGTCAGAGATTGGGTTATTCAAGACAGGGCTGTTTTCCTGGAGGGCACCCAGGGATGCCTGAACTCCCCTGGACACTTCTCTAGGGCAATCAGGAAGTTAGGGCTGGTCTGTGGGAGGCTGTTGAGTCATGCTACAGGAAAAGTGAGTACCTTCCACCCATCCAGGCCAGCTGCTGTCTGGACCTGTGGGGTGTGGGCATCTGCCACATGTCTGTGTCCACCCAGTGCTCCCAGCCCCATCTCCCCACACCCTGCCAGGTGGGACGAACCCAGCTCTGAACCTGGCAGCATGACTCTTCTCATTAGCCCTGTGGGAGCCATTCCCACCCAGCCTGCCTGGGGCCTCCACCCTGGCCTCCCCCGAGCCCTGGAGAACAGGGCCTGCCCATTCCCTCCCAGATTCACCAGTACAGCCCCTGCCTAGTCCTGCTCCTCCAAACGCCTGGGGCACAGAGTGCTGCTCTCTTCGACAGCGGACCACAGTCCCCAGCAACAGGCCCAGAGAGCACTTTCTTGTGAAAGTGAGGTAGACCACTTGTAGGTGGCCCACCTTGGTGCATGAATGAGCAACAATGCAGCAAGAAATGCGATCACATAGATCTTAACCCAGCACAAAACAGGAAGGGGGACTCCCTCCCCTGTCGGAGGGCAGCAAACTTATGGTTGGCACCCTTCTTGCCACCTCCTAGGGCAAAAGTCCCCTAAGGATGAGGGTTCTCTCCTCCCTCCAAGCCTCCATGCCATTTTTGGATATGGCATCAGGAGCCATGACCCTCTCATGAGCATCTGGGAATAGAAGGGATACTTTAACCCCAAAGAGTGTCGGCTAGCCAATGCCAAGTCCATACAAGGAAAGCCAATGACAGACTTTAAGTCGGGGCTTGGTGGGGAGGAGGGGTGAAGATCTCTAGGAATAAGGAGGTTTATCCTGAATGAGCTTAGAGGGCAGCTCTGAGAAGCTGGGTCCAGGGATGCCAGCGGGAAACAGGTGGTGTTGCTGACACCTGCAGCTACTCTAGCTCCACATACATCATTCATGTCCCTTTCTCCCATCCCACCCCCCACACCATTCCCCACCCAGGCCTTGGGGCAACCTGGGGACTGGCTCTGTGTCTCCCCTACATGCAGGGCTCTGAAATTCTCCTGGGCTCAAACCTTGATGTTCCTAACTGGTCAGAACACAGCATAAGCAGGACTTTAGCTCAGAGATGGGTGTCCCTCCCACCACTCCTCCAGGGCCCTGCCTGGGAGATTTAACAGAGTAACCAAAGAGGGGCCCAAGTATCCAGGCTCTCTCACCAGGAAGCAGCTGACGTCCAGGAGCAGCACAGTGGGGATGCCGCCAAAGGTGACCCCCTGCAGTACGGTGCTGTTTTTGGCCGAGTTGTAGCAATAGGACTCGTTGGGCCGGTCCCCGAGGCCCAGCTGCTCCCGGACAGAAACGGCTTGGGGCTGCCACAGCTCCAGGAACGGCGAGTTGGTCATGGCGCCTGCCCTCCCTGGAGAACAGGGCAATGCCAGAGATCACGGCTGGGACTTCCTCAAGATTTCCCCAGTCAGCGCTGACACAGTCAAAGAAGGTAGATCCCACAGGGGCCTGGTGATTTGGAACTGCAACTGGGGAGAGCTGGCCACTAGACCCCCTGCGTGCCTGGTAGCATCCACAGAGAATAGCTCCATTGTGGGGAAGAGTCCCAGAGGGGCAGGTGGCCGGGAAAGGCAGAACAAACAGGGAGGGAAAGGGTGGCAGGGACAGAAGCTGTTGCTGACCCCTAAAGCTCTGGCATCCCTCCAGCTACAAGGAAAGCTGTTGGCAAAGAACTCCTGCAGGAGAGACAGACACAAAAACAGAGATGCCACCTTACGGGGAAGGGGACAGTGAGATCGTCAAGGGCTGACTGCTTGGAGCCTCAGAGAAGTCCTCAAACACTGTTGCTGTCATAGGACATCAGAGACAGGCCATCTGACACACCCAGAACAACCTGGCCCAGGTTTAAGGAGCTGGTGGGGGCAGGACAGCCTCCACACAGCCCACTGATTCCCAGAACACATGTTTCCTATGGTGCCAGGCGGCCAGCAGCTGTGAACTCACTGAGAGACCAGAACAGGGCTTCAGACAGGCAGCCCAAGGGGAAGAGAGGGAGACAGCCCAAGGGTGACCTGGGACACTGAGAGGGAGGAAGACCCAGAGCCTGCTCAAGGGCCTCAGGAAGGCCAAAGCAAACACCACCCCAGATTGAGCCATTGACAACACACTGGGCAGGCACTGTACCACAGAAGTGCAGGTGGGTGGGTGGCAGGCCCCAGGGCAGGGGAGGACTACCCGCAAGGCTGAGCCACTCCCTCAGGCATGCAGGATACATGGTGACACTCTAGGTGACAGGAGTAGTGATGTCCCAGACTTGGTGCTCTGAACAGAGGCCCCACAGTTGGCTTCCCCTAGACCCCACCCAGTGGCACTAGGCCTGGCCTTCCTTCCTGTCCCACACTCAGCAAGCACACGCCAGGGCAGGA